AAGGCCACTGCTGAGGGTTCAACTGTGTGCACACTTGACATCAGTCAGTCAGAACCATCAGTTTGTCACGTCAGCCATGTTTTTCATTCACATTCGGCGTCATTACACATTATGCATCTGGAATGCTTTCAGGTCGGAAGTCTGAAAATTCACCTGGGAAATATCCAAGTTCCAAGCGATCGGGAACGCATCATTAGCAACACCCTAACGGCGGGGATCCACTGACTGCGTCTACGGTGCATTACGGCTGCGCCACGGTTTTGATGCGTCCACTGGAAGCGTCTCAGTAGCGGAGCGTGCAGCCTACCCCACGTTGTTGACTTGTTTATTTGTCATTTTGTGTGCTTATACAACCGATCTCAGCGCTCTGTGAACCGTTTCCCCCCAGTTCCCTGCAGGGCCGAAATTCCCACATGGAACGTTTTTCCTGCCTGATTTTGCTGAATTGTTTAGATTTAGTTGATTTTTGTGCTTCTACCGTGGTTAAGAAGGCTACACAGTTAAATTATTTCTTCGTTGGTCTTTTTTGGTCTGTGTTTATTGTTGATATACGATCGGGAGTCTGTACAAGGAATTTTATTTTGAAAATCAACCGAATTCTCTTTGCGCTGCACTGCGGCGCTTCTAGTGTGAGCACAATCATTGACTACAATGGCAGCGATTTGCTCCAGCAGCCGTGGCTCAGCCGTAACGAGGCGCATACGCCGCCTGTGTGAGTATCCCGTCAGTGCAGGTGGTAGGTAGAGGCATTTTAATTTAGATGCAAATAAAATAGTTTCAATGTGAGTGTGAGTGGTTGTTTGTCTATGTGTGGCCCTGCAATGGACTGGCGACCTGTCCAGGGTGTACCCCGCCCTTCGCCCGACGTCAGCTGGGATTGGCTCCAGCCTCCCTGCGACCATGTACGCAGGATAAGCGGTTGACGATGGATGGATGGAGTTCCACGTTAGCTTTATCATAATAGAGGCTATTCATGGTGGGGTCCAATCACACACCACATTATTAAAAACAGACAAATTCCCACCATTTGTACCAATTTGACAGCAGAAATGTCTATAGTATAATGAGTATAGCAGAGCTCAAACAACACAAACTCTCTCCTGGTGTCACCCTAGTCCTCTTTCTTTTCTGCCTGTTATTTCAAAAGGAGGCAAATTTCTGTTGCATCTCCGCTTCCTCAGAAAAATAGTGGGAACAGACGAGGAGCGAGACTTAAAATGAAATTACAAGCACTGAGCGTTCAGTGTGTAATCCATTTATTTCAGGAGGCACCCATGGGAGTTTTCTGCTCCTAATAAATCGGCTCTGTTGGCCTAAACAAGCTCTTCCCAAAGAGAAAGAGAGAAATGTTTTTAAGGAACAAAGGAAAAGATGAATGAGTGGTGAACTAAATGAGCTGCACTGAGCCAAAGAGTTCAGATTTGTTAAGGTTTGACCCCAAGCTGGCTCACTAAAAGATGAGTAGAATGTGAGGCCACATACTGCTGTAGCTGTGTTGAATTCACTTATTTGAATAAGGACAAGGCTGTCTTCTCAGGCTTGACTGAAGCCAATGGCTGTAGGTCAGGCCAGTTTTATTTATATAGCTCAAATATACAACATACAACCTCTATCCTTACTTAGCCATTAGAATGAGCCTACATAATACAAATACAAAAATGTATTTAAACAAACTTGTGTTCAAACCAAAGAAAAGTCCTACCAAAGTCTTACGAGCGACTACATGACTGTGACTTTACCAGAAAAGACGCAAGCCACTTTTTGTCTTTTAGGATTTGTCACATTCTCTTTTGATAAAAAGACAATGTTACCAGAAGCCTTAACATGGCTCAGTAAGTGACGTGGCAGAGCCCTGTTAATGTAACAGATCCAGAGGCAATGAGACTGAGCGAACACCACCCACATTTACCCACCTCGACCTTTCTAATAAGCCCTTGAATGAGAAAGTAAAAAGTATGAGCACAAGTGTGCCAAACTGTTGGAGTATTCCTTTAAGCTGTAACCTTCCTGCCTCAGGGAGGCTACTTTGCCTTGGCAAATTTTCAACATAATTACATTATGTGCAGGAAAAAGCCTCTCAGATAAATGGCTTGTTAATGCTTCCAGAGCGAGAGAGAGCTCTGTGAATGGGAAAACACGGGACAATTCACTGTGTGCTTTTCGTTCAAATGATGGATGGCTTTTCAGAAGTGAAACACACGGAGGTGGCCATGGACCTGCCCACGGTGATTCATATACAGCACTGACAGCTTAGACTCGTCACACGGGCTGAGGTTAAGTAGCAGGGCTTTTCCTGGCTCAAAATGAGGCAGAGAGGGTACCATCCTGATCACGTGCACACTTGATGTGTAATGGGCCTTATCACATTAATGTTTATTTTGTCATAAAAGGTAATGTGTAGGTGTCCTAGTACTTTTGTCTATATAGTCTAAAGTCAGCTCTTATTTTCATTTCTAGTTCAGTGTCGCTGATTTGATATCCTGTCCAGTTTTCTGTAGTATGCTAGTAATACGTGAATGTTAAATGTTTTAGTAAATACTTCAAGATTTGAAGCCAAGTCTTCATGGGCTTTCATATAAACTTCAATGCATGAAAAAACTCCAGCTAAAGTTCAAATGCTATTGAAAACACACAGGTTGGTGCACTTTCACGCAGGAGGTTTTTATCTGAGCTTTCATTTCTACAGAGCTGTTTAACTGTAGTAAAGGATGTACATTTTATGGAACAGTACTCCAACAGGAGGAATTGGCACATTTGTAGGGGACTATTTCCAGCATATATAAGATACAGTGGGGAGAACCAGTATTTGATACACTGCTGATTTTGCAGGTTTTCCTATTTATAAAGCATGTAGAGGTCTGTAATTTTTAATCGGTACTCTTCAACTGTGAGAGATGGAATTTAAAACAAAAATCCAGAAAATCACATTGTATGATTTTTAAATCATTAATTTGCATTTTATTGCATGACATAAGTATTTGATACATCAGAAAAGCAGAACTTAATATTTGGTACAGAAAGCTTTGTTTGCAGTTACAGAGATCATACGTTTCCTGTAGTTGACCAGGTTTGCACACACACTGCAGCAGGGATTTTGGCCCACTCCTCCTTACAGACCTTCTCCAGATCCTTCAGGTTTCGGGGCTCTCGCTGGGCAATACGGACTTTCAGCTCCCTTCAAAGATTTTCTATTGGATTCAGGTCTGGAGACTGGCTAGGCCACGCCAGGACCTTGCTTGTTACGGAGCCACTCCGTAGTTGCCCTGGCCGTGTGTTTCTGGTCGTTGTCATGCTGGAAGACCCAGCCACGACCCATCTTCAGTGCTCTTACTGAGGGAAGGAGGTTGAGGCCAAGGACTCGCGATACATGACCCCATCCTCCTCCCCTCAGTATGGTGCAGTCGTCGTGTCCCCTTTGCAGAAAAGCATCCCCAAAGAACGATGTTTCCACCTTCATGCTTTACGGTTGGGATGGTGTTCTTGGGGTTGTACTCATCCTCCTTCTTCCTCCAAACACGGCGAGTGGAGTTTAGACCATAAAGCTCTATTTTGGTCTCATCAGACCACATGACCGTCTCCCATTCCTCCTCTGGATCATCCAGATGGTCATTGGCAAACTTCAGACGGGCCTGGACATGCGCTGGCTTGAGCAGGGGGACCTTGCGTGTGCTGCAGGATTTTAATCCATGACGGCGTAGTGTGTTACTAATGGTTTTCTTTGAGACTGTGGTCCCAGCTCTCTTCAGGTCATTGACCAGGTCCTGCCGTGTAGTTCTGGGCTGATCCCTCACCTTCCTCATCATCATTGATGCCCATCTTGCATGGAGCCCCAGACAGAGCGAGATTGACCGTCATCTTGAACTTCTTCCATTTTTTAATAATTGCGCAAACACTCACCAAGCTGCTTGCCTATTGTCCTGTAGCCCATCCCAGCCTTGTGCAGGTCTACAATTTTATGCCTGATGTCCTTACACAGCTCTCTGGTCTTGGCCATTGTGGAGAGGTTGGAGTCTGTTTGATTGAGTGTGTGGACAGGTGTCTTTTATACAGGTAACAAGTTCAAACAGGTGCAGTTAATACAAGTAATGAGAGGAGAACAGGAGGGATTCTTAAAGAAGAACTAACAGGTCTGTGAGAGCCGGAATTCTTACTGGTTGGTAGGTGATGCAATAAAATGCATGTTGGTGATTTTGCAGGAAAACCTGCAGGAAAACCTGCAAAATCAGCAGTGTATCAAATACTTGTTCTCCCCACTGTATATCAGGCTTTGGATACACGCACGCTCACACAAAATACATGTTAGCAGTATTCCTTGGTGTTACAACCATAAAGCAGTGGCCTGTACTACGAAGTGTATGTGTGTGTGTGTGTGTGTGTGTGTGATGCTGCAGCCTTGCAAAATGAAGCGATTTGGTTCTTTGACCAAAAAACAAAACCATTTTCTCTCATAAATGTCTGACTATAATTTAAGAGAATATTCAGATTTTTCAGTTTTTTCTCAGATTATTAGCCCACTCCCCTGGCTCCTGGCTGGTTTTATTATAGTGGACCTAATATACAGCTGTACCTTTTACATCTTAATCACTGTTAAGTTAACTACAAATGTACACTGCCAACAAGCCTAACCTGGATTTGTTGGCCACCACAGTGTTAGATTTTGCTGTTAACGTTTCTTTACACTCCTCATACCCTGCCTTCACTGCTGAACACACCCCTTTTAAGTGAACGTGCACCAACTACAATTAAGTTAACACCGACTAACCAACATCTTATTCACAGTTGTTTGTTCTGTTGCACCAGTGTCCGATCAGAGTTTGTTACCCAGAGTTTGCTTGATAACCCGGAGTCGAATCTGAGTAGGTTTAACTCTAGTACAGGCCACTGGTCTGCAGGTCACAGACTTATCTTTTTATAAAGGGTAGACTACATTCTCACTTAAATTTTTGTTGTGATGTTGAACCATATGTTCAGTCTCTGTCTGTGCCCCTCTCCCCCCACAGAACTACAAGGACACCCTGCAGACCCAGGTTCTGGAGTCAGCGGGGAAGGGACCCAGCACAGTCAAGTTTGGGGCCGACCTATCAGAAAGGAAACTCAACGACTTCCAGGAAGAACAGATAGGCCAACTGTACGAACTCCTGCTAGAATCCACCAAACCCAACAGACAGTTTGACATCCAGGAAGACAGCAAGTGAAGCAGCAGGCCACAGAGATGTGCTCGGACAAAGGAAAAACAGAAGGCACAATGATGAATTCAGACCACTAATGTAATACCTGTCAGTGCTTCAAGTGAAGAGTGGTACTCAAAGGCAGAGATTTTTGATTATATTAAAGAGCTGCGTACAGGCTCTGTGTTCCTGTAGTTGTCTCTTTTACTGTGACAATAAAGAGGGTCCTCGTGCTTCTCCGCAGGTGCTTTAAGGTGGCACTAATTGGTTTCCTTTGTCAACTTTCCTTGCACAAATACAGTTGTGAGCTCATGGTCGTGGAGGAAAGGAAAAGGATGTCTAGTCGGCAGATGCAGCCAGAGCTCACATCAGCAATGCCTCTTTCAGCCTCAGTGGTGATGTCAGTATTGTCGGGGTGAAAATATCAACAGTAGAATCTACACCGACACAAAAGCCATGAGCTTGGGGAGAAACGGGGGTGTTAGAGCGGTTATAAAAGTCGACTCACGGCTTTTGATCCACCGATTTCCTCCCACAAATTCAAACAATGGTTTCCCCTTGAAATAAAGGGTAATCAGGCATGCACCATACAGCATCTGTTCCAAATATAATGCTGCTTTGAACCCAGACCTCCCACCCACTTCTCACTTTCTGATATCTAAATGACATTGTTAATCATTTAGCCTTACATTCCACCTACTTACAAAACACCTTGTGATGCTAATTTTACATGTTGTCTTATGTGTGAAAGAGCACCTGTGTCACTTGTGTAAAAATTGTAAGGACACAATGTCTTACCAGGTCAAACAGTAATGTTTCTGGACAACTTGGCGTAAGTCTGAATTGAATATCATCAGGTTGACATAAGTCTAAAGCAGCACCTGTTAAATAAGAACAGTGACAGATTAAAGCAGCTACATTCAATATTTTGATATTAACAATGGATCACATGACTACTTGTATGTGAATGGTGTCATTTGTAGTGACGAACCCGCAGAGAATAACCGCCTGATTCTGCAGTTTTAGCTCATTGTTTTGGATTTCCGCCCTGCAACACAGCTGTTTTGGGTCAGCCATCATCCTCATTCCCAGCACCAGGACGCAGCTGTTTTCCTTACGCAGCACCAAACAGCAGACAGACACAGTTAGAGACTAGCTGGTGACAAAAGTGGAACATTTAGCAGCAAACGAGCCAGATAGTTTTCTCAGGAGCTGGTGGAGACTAAGAAGATGGAAAAAGGAGAGCGAATATTGGACTGCCATTTGCCAGGTGACCCGAAACACAACTCAAAATGAATAATACTGTTGCTCTGGATTTTTAAAGGCAAATGTTTGTTAACACATTAGCCATGTAAACTTAAGGTACTCTGTGGAACGCGATTCCCCGTTTTGTTTGTTTCATGCATCTGAAAGCACACGGGCGGCGCAAGCACCTTTTTCCAAGAAAGCTCCACAGGTCACCTTTTATAAGTTCAATTCAATTTTATTTATATAGCGCCAAATCACAACAACAGTTATCTCACAGCACTTTTCATAAAAGCAGGTCTAGACCGTACTCTATGATATTATTTACAGAAGCCCAACAGTTCCCTCCAAGAGCAGCACTAGGAGACAGAGGCAAGGAAAAACTTCCTTTAAGAGGCAGAAACCTCGAGCAGAACCGTGGCTCAGGGTGGGCGGCCATCTGCCTCCACCGGTTGGGGGTGAAGGGGAGAGAGTGAGAGAGAGAGATATCAAGAGAGGGCAGGAGAGGAACAGAGAGAAAAAGAGAGGGAGGGAAGGAGAGAGAGAGAGGCAGCCTACACAATATACACACAGAGGTACAGACAGTAAAGGTAATGTTGCTATAGACTAAATGAAAAATGGTACAGATATTTATAATAGTGTTAATGGTAACCATCGTAATGTTAATGATTATAATAACAATAATAACAATAGGACTAGTAACAATAGTCGTTGCAGCAGAGGGTGTCGAGCAGGAACACGGGGGCAACAGGTGACCCGCAGCCACAGATCCAGACTCCACAGCTCCAGAGCCAGAAAACCTGCAGGAAGTGATAGGAGGAGAGAGGAGAGGGACGAGAAAGCACAAGACTACCGGAAAGGGAAGAAGTTGTGTTAGTAACATGCAATAATGGGATGAGGTTGCATACAGAGGGAGAGGAAGTAGAGGAGAGAGGAGCTCAGTGCATCATGGGAAATCCCCCGGCGGTCTAGGCCTATAGCAGCATAACTAAGGGATGGTTCAGGACTCATCTGAGCCAGCCCTAACTATAAGCTGGCTCAGAGTCCTTATCACTATAAGGCAGACTGAAGTGGTTTGAAAGCAAAATGAGGCACTGTTTGTTACCCATTAGCTATGTTTGAGTCTTACATCCTGTATCAATACTTCTTTAGTTACCAAAACTAGAAAAAAGATTGTCAGCTTCAGTGCACAGATACAAATGGACCGACCTGTAATTAGTATTTGTGATATACTGTATGTCATGGTATGATATGTAAATTCACTTTTAACCATCTCTGAGTTCAATCTCTTAATTAAATCAGTGATTAATATCAGCTGTGAAAGGCCCAGGCTGTAACTGATTGAGGGATAATAAGCAAGGCGGTGCTTTCACTATTTATTTAACATGACCTCCATCACTTCCCCATGGCAGTAAGAAGTACCACCATATGTCACCAAGTGGCTACAGTGGAGGGGGGGGGGGCATGGTCCGCAGAGAGCAGTGAATAAGAAAGGGACACACTAGACCCACAAACAATATGAGAAAAAATAAATAATGCCTAAAACTATGCACACAAAACCGGAAAATATTGTTTACCAACACACGTGTTACTTTCACTGTTAAAATGACAGTTACCGTGAATTACAGATGCACCTAGCTAAGCAAGCTAGCAAACTAGTTAGTTCTGCACACGGCCGTTAGCTCCACCGTCTCGTCCAAATATGGTCACGTATTTTTGCTAGTTTCAAAAACTCGGCCAAACTCAAGGCTTCAAGACAGCAGTCCACAAACCAACAGGTGACGTCACGATGACTGCATCCACTTCTAACAAAATAGTGGTTTAGCTTTGTCACTTTGTACTTCAGCTGTTGGCACAGCCACTTTTCTTGAGGCACCGCCATTAGTTTTAATTTTGGTTATGCAACTGCGTTGTGGACAGTGTCCACTGTGATGGCAGCAGTTTTCACTCAGGTGAAAAGTTAATGAGGGCTTGATAAAAAAGACCAGTCGATGGTTCAGAAAGTCTAAAGCCTTGCCTGACACCCCTAGAGGCTGCAGTGTTCATTACACCTCATTACAAAAACAAAATACAAAAAACAAAATGGTTCAGAACAAACTCCATCTGCGGATGAAGAATGTGGGTGAAAGCTCCGTAGGAAGTGATATTTTTTTTCCTTTAGGGATGTGATTGTTTGTCAGTCAGTCCACCTCTTTGTTTCATACTGACATTTCTCAACTATTTGATGGATTACTGTGGTCCCACCATGGTCCCCAGAGGATGAATTCTTTGGTAATCCCTTGACTTTTCCTCTAGCACCACCATGATCTGTACATCTGTGGTTTAGTGTAAAACATTTCTACAAGTATTGGATGGTTGGTCATGAAATTTGGTTCACACATTTATGTTCCCCACAGGATGAATTTTAATAACTTTGGGACTCTCTTGACTTCAACTGAGGAGGTAATTGGGCAGTGGAAGAAACACTTTGAGGAACTCCTAAATCCAACTCTCTAGTAGAGGCAGAGCTGGAGGCTGATGGGGGATTCTCATCAATTTCCCTGATGGCGATTACTGAGGTAGTCAAACAACTCCACAGTGGCAAAGCCCCAGGGGTTGATGAGATCCGCCCAGAAATGCTAAAAGCTTTGGGTGTGGAGGGGCTGTCTTGGATGACAAGTCTCTTTAACATTGTGTGGAAGTCGGGTACAGTGCCCAAGGAGTGACAGACTGGGGTTGTGGTTCCCCTGTTCAAAAAGGGGGACCAGAGAGTGTGTGCCAATTACAGGGGCATCATACTTCTCAGCCTCGCTGGTAAAGTCTACTCCAAGGTGCTGGAAAGGAGGGTTCCGCTGATAGTCGAACCTCGGATTGAAGAGGAACAATGTGGTTTTCGTCCTGGTCGTGGAACAACCGACCAGCTCTTTACTCTCACAAGGATACTGGAGTGGGCTTGGGAGTATGCCCATCCAGTCTACATGTGTTTTGTAGATCTGGAGAAGGCGTATGACTGGGTCCCCCGGGAGATACTGTGGGAGGTGCTGCGGGAATATGGGGTGAGGGGGTCCCTTGTCAGGGCTATCCAATCCCCGTACATCCAAAGCGAGAGCTGTTTTCGAGTACTCGGCAGTAAGTCGTACTCTTTCCAGGTGAGGGTTGGCCTTCGCCAGGGCTGTGCTTTGTTTGTGATATTCATGGACAGGATATCAAGGCGTAGTCGTGGTGGTGAGGGGTTGTGGTTTGGTGGGCTTGGGATCTTGTCACTGCTTTTTGCAGATGATGTGGTCCAGATGGCATCATCGGTCTGTGACCTTCAGCTCTCACTGGATTGGTTCGCAGCTGAGTGTGAAGCAGTTGGGATGAGGATTAGCACCTCTTTTTTTCATACATATCTATTCTACAGCTTTAAAGAAGATGATATTGAAGTTCAGAGTGCATTTACCTTACATCTACAGATGGAGATCATGTGATACAATCAAAAGCTTCAGAAAAGCTATAAGCTAAAAGGTCTTATTTTCTTGGCTTTTAATGGTAATTATATCAGTTATAATGACAGTATATTAATTGCTGAGATGTCAAAAAACAGCAGTTTAGCCAAATCATCTAAACCAGTAGTTCCCATCCCTGAGGTTTGGAGCCCCATAAGGGGTTGCAGGACAAATCTGAGGGGTCGTGAGACAATTAAAAAATTGTGACTAATTCAGACTAATCTTTGCCTTTTATTGTAAAATACTGAGAATTCATACACAAGTAACCTGTGACAAGGGGGTCCCAAGTTTTAATTTAAAAGGGTTACAAGCCAAAAACATTGGGACCCATGCATCTAAACCACTTTATTTGCAGGTAAAACATGAAAATGAGAACACCTGAAATGTCAGTAATCTTAGTGTAGTGTTAGCAAAACTACAAACACAAAACTCCTGTATGCCTGTATGAAACTTTCCCTCAAAAAACAGCACTGCACCAATTTAGCATTGCACATAATATAACAGTGATGGATTCATGATGGACAGCTGAAAAATAAAAGCATCAAAATGGAT